AAACCACGAGCTCCTCCCACTGACTCTCGTAAAGCGCCAGTGTCCGCTCCGCGAGAGCGTGCGACTCCAACGTGGACAGGCGGGCAGCACTCTCGCGAGCTTTCCGCGTCGTTCCTCCCGGACCTCTCCCGAGATCAGGGGGCGGCCCGTTCCGCGGGGCAGCGGGGTCGCCCTCCTCGAGACCGCTTGGCCTGCCGACCGCGCCGGCTGCTGCGCCCTGCGGAGGCCCCTGTGGGCCGCGGAGCCCGCTCTGGTCTCCTTGAGTCAGCGCCAGGCCCGGGCGGCGCAGGCGGCCAGCGCCTGGCGGGGCTCTCGCGGCGCTCTCGGAGAGCCTCTGCTGGCGCTGCTCTCGCCCGTCGCCGCGGCGGAGCACCTGTCGCGTTCCTCTCGGACGGCGCCCGCCAGAAGTGCCGCCAGAAGCGACGGCGAGGGCGAGGGCTCGGCGAACAAGCGCGAGGGTCGCACGCGGGCCCTGCAGCTTCCGAAATCTCTCGCGTTCCGCAGCTGGCCCCCAGGAAGTGCGCGCGGCGAAGTTCACGGCTCGCCCCCGGTGGCGTCGCCCGCAATCTTCGTCGACGAGGTGGCGTGCCGCTTGGATGGGCTGCGACGTGCTCGGGCACTTCCTGGAATTGCCCCCCTCAAGCATGTCCAGCGCGCCCCCGGGCCCCATGGGGGTGGAAGGCGTTTGCCTCGATGGCGGCCGATCTCCGCGACCTCCGCGTCGGGGCCGCGCGAATAACGACGCCGACCCCGCTCTCGCGCACGTCCGCGCAGACGGCCTCGGGCCCCCGCTCGCGGGGGAGCTCGGCCGCGCAGACGCGCGTGGGCGCCCGCACTCACCTCGCCTCCTTTAGATCGGAGGCCCTCGGCTCGGCCCGCCGCCCGCCGACCCGCGCCGCGAAGTCGCGGGGGCTCCTGGGGCATGGCCGCCCCCCCCGCGCGACGAGGATATGATCCGAGACGCGGCCGAGCCATCGCCTGACCGCGCGGCGCGCCACTCGACGGCGGCCTTGCAAGTGCCGGCGCGCCCGCTGCAAGCGAGCTGCCCGCTCGGGCCTGTTAGTTACCAGCCGGCGGTTTTCTGCCCGGAGGAAGAACCCAGGGCCGCCTCGTTGGGGCGGCGGCGGCCCTCGGCCGCGCCTCTCGAAGGCTGGGGCGGCGCGCCGTGGATGGCGGCTCCCCGGCTCCGGGCCAGTCCGCGAAGCCCCTCTCGAACTCCTGCGCGGTCAAGGGTGGGTAGCGGCAATCATTATCCAGACTGGCGGTGTTCTCGAGGCTGTGGAAGTGGTCCTTGACGTCGGCCTCGGCGAAGTGCAAGTCATCATCGTTTGCGGGGCGCTCGACGCGGGCCGCGGTCGCCCCGGCCCCCGCGTCGAGGCTGGGCGCTGGGCGGACGTGCAGGTTCGACCATCTGCGACCCAGGATGAGGCGAAGTTTCTTGTTCTCCTTCATGACGAAGAACGGCGGGCGCATCTCCTTTGGGGCGACGGGGGAATCGACCAGCCCAGCCCTTAGGACGTCTGCGATGAAACCAGGGTAATCGACCGATCTTCGCACGGGACCTCGCCCATGTCGAAACATTGAGGCGCGCCTGGCCCCGCCTGTCACCTGGCGACATCTGAGCCCGACAGTATGTGTTCATCTGGCCTCTCCAACAATGCTCTCTCCGGCTCCCCGCGCGCGGCGCCGAGCGGCGCTGGGGGTGTTCCAGCTGCCGGGATGGGCGCCAATAGGCGTTGGTAAGGGCAGACGGCAATGTCTTAATCGACTCCAGCGTGGTCGGTGACAGTGGGCATGGACTTATTCGAGGTCCCGTGCCTGGTGCGCAACGGTTCTCTGTATGGCAGCTGCCCCGCCCTCCAGTGGATGTAGCTCTGACACCTCATCTGGGCGAGGCTCGGACTGGCCGCGGGCCGGGCCACGCTGGCCATCTGATTCGTTCAAAACCTCGAGGACTTAATTTGCCTTCTCCTGGACTCCCCGACGTTGCAATAATCGCCGACGAAGGTGCCCGGGCTTGCCCGGGCGGCCGCTGGCTCGGCTGGCGCGGATGGATGATAAAAAACTCCCGAGGTCGATGTCGTCGCGCGTCGTGATGGGCCCCCCCCTGCGTGGCGCGGGAATGACTTCTGATGCGGCGCCCACGTTTCGGGGCGGGTCGGCGCCTCTCTCCCGCCCCCAGGGCGAGCCAGAGACTTGGCCATCTCCGCTGTTGTCGTTATTCTTCCTCTTCAGGCTCTGCTTGCGCAGGCGCCGCTCTTTGTCTGGCCCCCCATCTCCTCCTGGGCCGCGGGTGCCTCCCCGCGGACCTGCCCAGCCACGTGGCTCCGCAGACGTGGGTCCAGGCCGTCAGGTCGGCCGGCCCATGTATTGGTCCGCCGCGAGCGTGCGCGCTGTAATCAGCGCGGCCGCCGGAGGAATGCGCGTCCTCGATCAGCTGGAGACGACGGCTGACCAGCTCCGCCGACTCCGCCGGCGTTCAGCTGGTCGACCGTGCACATCACCTCCACGATGTGGGTGGGGGGGCGTCTCGTGCTCGTGTTAGCTGCTAGCTGCGGTCCCCGTCTAGGATCCGAGCTGCGTGCCACCAGTGCTCGCTCTGCGTGATCGGCGTCTGGCTGGACGCGGCGCGCTGCCGCAGCCAGTTTAAGCATGTCCAGGGCCCGGTCAGGTCGAGCCCTCTCTCTGGCTCTTCTCCCGCCATCGCCTGGGCGGATTCGTCGAAGGGATGACGCAGCAACACGCGGAGATCTTCATTGACGTGGTGCTCCAGCTTGCGCCGCCCGACCATCTGTATGAAAGCGGTATATTCCCGGAGCTGCACGAACCCACGGTCTCCCATCGCATCGCGTCGGCCGGCAACGGTCCGATCACATCGCCTCGCCGATGGCCCTCGCAGTCCTCCGCGCGCGCCCATAAGCGCCCTGAGGGCGCTGCCGCCGCCGCCGCTATTGCGAGGGGGCGGCTCGGGGAACCGCTGCCAACTCCGCGCCTGGGGCTGGCTTCTGCATCTGTTGCATGCCAGGCGGCGGCGGGATGTTGCCGAGCATCAACGCCGCGTCCCTGTAGCACTGCCGCGGCAGTTTCGGTGTCGGTGCCTGCGGGGACCGATGCACATGGCGAGCGCCGACTCCTGGCAGGGTTGCCCCCTGCGTGCCCATCCACCTTGCCGCGAGCACGTCGCCGCCGATCTGGATGCTCAGGGGGTAATGGTCCCCGTCTGGCGTCGCCATCGTGGCCGTTGTCGGCACAGTAGAGTGGCTGCCCAGACCCCCTGCACAGCACCAGGATGTAGTCCCTGGGTGCCGTCATCACTCCGACATGCGGGTCGACGCAGACTCCGCCTCGGGCGCCGCCCGGAACCGGAATGCGGACCGCTGCCAGGCCTTCTCGGCCTGCTCACGGGCCCTGGCGACCAACTCGGCTTGCTGGCGCGCGCCGGCCACCGCCTCGGCGCGCCCCTGCCCGCGGCGACGGCACCCGTCCCGCAGCCATTCGCTCAGTCGGACGGCAAGGCGGATGACTGCAGTGCCGAAAGGGCCCAGCGCGAAGGCCCACGCTGGGGGGGGCGTTCCTGCGCACCTTGGGCAAGGCCAGGGTTTCTCGCGCCCCAGGCACGCCGCGCAGGGCGGCGCTGGCCGCACCCCGACTTGGCCGGGCACGAGCAAGGGGCCGGTTCGCACGACGGGCAAGCCGGGGCAGGTGAGATTGCAGGCGTGGCAACTCCCTGCGCCAGCGGGTCCATGACCATGCGCTGGGCAGCGCCTGCCCGAAGAGGTGCCAACCCAGGGCCGCCCAGCCAGGCGCAGCCACCAGCGCCAGGTGCCGACTGGGTCCTGAAGCGGCCACGCACGGGCCCCAACTTCCCCCTCTGAAAGTTTGGGCCCTAACGAATACAGAGGGGGAAGGCGTACAGACTGCAACAACATGTGGCCCAAACTAAGTCTAAGCCCGTGTGAGCAAGTTAAAGAATACAAGCGTCGATCTTGACCGACCACCCCGTAATAACCCTGAGAGAGGGTTTTCCAGATGCAAATTGCCGCTGCTTCGGGGAACGCATTTTCCTAGTCACAGCTCCGAAGGCCTTTGGTATATTTAGCAGGTCGTAAGTTTTGAAGTTCAGTGTAGCGTCTTCCCACGTCAACATAAGTGTGCACGCGCAGGAAAGAATGTGGGGGAGAGAAATGGGGAGAGAGAGGAAGAGAAAGAGAGAGAGAGAGAGACAGCAGCACACACATCCATATGTTCATATATTTCTATGTGTGTATACATACATAGGTACACATATATACATACGTATATAGAAGTATACACTGAAATAGCTACTGATTTTCATATCTCCGTAGATGTATCAATAATGAAAGAGAGAGGGACACATAGCGAGAGAGAGAGAGAACAATAGCCAAAACGATAGAGGCCGATATAAATAATTTACGACAGATGTACAGACACAGGCATACAGAGGAATGGAGGAAGTTAATGGGAATAGCGACGGGAGGAGGTCGAACAATAGGTCTTTCACAGATTCTGCCCCTTCGCGCTTTCTCTGGATTCTCCCCCTGGAAGATTGTTCCCAAGGCTGCCGGGGATTCCAGGCGGAGGAGGCAGCAGCGGACGGCTGGCCGAGCCTTCTGCGTCGTATGATTTATTCTCCTCTTTCGCCATTCACACAAGCACCTTCCCTCCTTTAGAATTTCTCCTGTTCTGTCTCATCCTGCTGCTGTTGCTGCTCCTCCTCCCCCTTCCTCAAGCTCCTCCGCCTGGTCCTCTCCAGTCCTCGTCCCTGCTCCTTCTTCTCATTGTCCTCCCTCCTCCACCCCTGTATCCCTTCTCTCGGTTCGCCTCTTCTTTCCCCTCCTGCTCCTCTTCATCCTGTTCCCATTCTTCTTCTTCCAACTCAGCATCTTCCATCCTCAGTGCCCTCTTCTTCTCCTTCTTCTTCTAAGTCCTCCTCCTCCTCCTTCTCCTTCTTGTTGCTGGGCGGCCAGGCAATCCTCCACCGCTTTCTTTTTCTTTTTCTTGGCAGCAGGAGCCTTGTCCTGCACAAGATGATGATGAGGGGGAATCTGCAGGATGAAGCAAGGAGGGGCGAGGGAGAAGGGAGTGTGAGGACGGGCAGGAGGTTGGAGGGAGGCACAGGAGGGAGGGTGGACAGGAAACCAGAGGTGGGAACGAGGGATGACGGTGGAAGCGGATGATGATGCCTGCCGCTGGTGATGACGAGGAGGAGGATGGGGAGCAATGGGGGCCATGGGGACACGTAAGTGGGAGCCAGTGAATCCCGCCAGCCCTTTCAGGCGTGAGTGGTCTAGAACACTTTTTTGTTCAACCACCTTCCTCTCTGAAGTGGACGTTGCGGTAAATTCTGGATCATATTTGAACCTGGGGCGATCACGTTGCATTGTTTTTTTTGACAGGGACGAAGGCGGTGCCAACATATCGCCTGCAACACGAAATCCGATCATCCGTGCAAACGAAGAAAGCTGATACTATATATATATATATATATTTCCTGGCAGCGATCATGCGCAGGTGCCCCGCAATCACGTTGCACTGTTATTTGGAAGGGGCGAGGTGGGTGCCCTGACACGCGCGCCGCGCCTCGCGGGCGTCGCGCACCTGGCGGGCGTCTGCATCCGTTACCGGTGATGGTCGATGGCGGCCCCTGCCCATGCGGAGACTCGGGTGCCCATCATGTGGCGGGAGGGCGGATGAGAGGGAGGGAGACGGCCGCCCTCTTTGCCCCTTCCCCTAACACCCCCCCCTGGGAGGAGAGGGCGCCGCGACACATTACAGGATGACGCATCACCTCCCTCTCCCCCTCCTTCCACTGCCTCCACCTCGCCCCTCTTCATCCACATGCCTCTCCTTACGACGAAAAGAATCCGAAGAAGCCTGTGGGCGAGGGTGATGACGATGGTGATGATAAGGAGGAGGAGGAGGAAGAGGAGGAAGAGGAGGAGGAGGAGGAGGAGGAGGAGGAGGAAGACGACGACGGGAAAAGGACGGCGAGGATCAGGAGAGAGCGCGCCCGCCGCAATTTTGAGGGATCGAGGGCCAGAGCGGACCAGTCGGCTCCTCGGCCCACCACCCCTCGTCGCCCTCCTCGGCCCACGACTCTTCGTCGCCACCCTCGTACCTCGGATGCGCAACGCAGGGATGGGGGCGTGGATGGGGAGGGAGGGCGAGCAAGAGGGGGACGATAAGGTAAAGAAGCAGGAAGGGAAGGACGCGCCAGAGAGGGACGAGAAAGAGAAGGAGGAGGAGGAGGAGGAGAAGCCAGATGAGGAGGAGGAGGAGGAGGAGGAGGAGGAGGAGGAAGAGGAGGAGGAGGATGAGAGGGCTGGATGCGAGGGGGCAGAAAGAGAGAGAGGACAGAGGGACGACAACTCAGCAGCGCTGTGCCGCAGAAGGGGATGGGCGCGCAGCGAAGGGAACGCTCATTACGATATCTGCAGGGGCCTCCGTTCAAATTAAAGCCGCTGCCTCCAGCACGTGAGACGGAATTTGTAGCACTTCCCTGGCGCGACTTCGAGACCCTGACATTGTAGATGGTGTTGTCCGACCACCACTTGCGCGGTCTGCTGGTCAACTTGCCACTTGTCCCGTTATCTCGACCAACGTCGGGAGGAGGCGGAGGAAACCACCATCTTGTGGGCAATTGTGGGCGAGAAAGAGAGGGAGGAGGATGAGGAGGAGGAGAGAGAGGAGCAGGACGAGGTGAAAGGGCAGGATGAGTGGAAGAAGCGTGCGCATGCATGCGCATGGGCGCATATGATTCGCATTGTGCCAGGGTGTCGGCGTAGTGGAGGAATGGGGCCATGCTTGCCTCCCAGATGTGACCCTATCTCCTGCGACTCCCTGGTCTGACTGCTCAAGGCACAGTTTCAAACAACACTACATGGCGCATGCGTGGCCACAACGGTCTGAATAATGGTAACGACTGTTGAGCTCGATCACCGCTGAGCAAGCCGTAAGCTTCGACCACCGCTGCAGGTTACCTGGAACAAACAGCTGCGGAGCGCAGTCAGCAAACATGGCGTGATATCAGTGAACCAGTGGAAGCGATGATCACAACGCGATTCCTGCGGGATCGGCCGGCAGCACGGCGGTCACAACGAACCTGGCCGTCATCCCGACGTGCCCAGGATATAAAAGAGACGGAGAAGTAATACGACCCTGTGGAACACCGAGGAGTGGAATGGTGCTCACGATGAGGATTATACATCTTCTGCTGGTACTGATGATAGTAACGCGTATGCTGTTGATGATGCTGAGGATAACGGTGCGGGCGAGGATGAGACTGGTGATGGTGAGGGTGATGCTGATTAGGGTGATGATGCATATACTGATAATGATCACGAATATGCTGCTGCTGAAGACGGCCACCACGACGACGCCGATACTGATAATGCGACTGTTGATGATGGTGTTGGTGATGTTGCTGTTGATGGCGATCATGATAATGATGACGACGATGATGCTGCTGCTGATGATGATGATGATGATGATGATGATGATGATGTCGATGGTGGTGATGATGATGATGCCGATGCTGCCGATGCTGCTGATGGTGATGATTATGATGATTACTATGCGTATGATGCTGATGGCGATGGTGACGATGGTGATAATGCTGCTGATGATGAGGAGGATGACGAGTAGAAGAAGGGTGAGGACACACCTTGGATGACGAGTGGTAGCATGAATCGGCGGAGGACGACGAGGCTCAGGGTAGGCCTTCCACAGTGCCACCCGCGGGTACCTGTGCAGCCCTCTTGGGAGCGAGGAGGCGCAGGGTACTTGCACCACTCCTCCGCCTCCTCTTTCTCCTCCTCCTCCTCCTTCTCCTCCTCTCCTCCAGAAGATATGCCCTCCTTTTCCTCCTCCTCACTCCCCTCGCCCTCTACACATCCCCTTATCGCTCCCCGTTCCTCTCTTCCGCCTCCCAATCGTTTTCCCTCCGTCCTGCCGTTCCGTCCGCCCCCCTCGGCTCCTTCCTCCCTTCTGCCACGCTCCCCTTGTGACTCCTCCTTCTCTTCCTCCGCCCTCCTCCCTCATCCGTTCCTCCTCCCTTCATGTCCTCGTCTCCCTTTGTACTGTCCGCTTTTCTCGACTCCCTTTCTCGTCGTCGTCGTCCGCCTCCGTCTGTTCTTTCTCTCCGTTCCCCCGTCCTCCTTCTCACGGGCTCCTCCGAATCTGGTCTCTTCCAAAGCAGGCGGGGCACCACTCCGCTCCTTCCTCTCGTCGCTTGCCAGCCGCCTGCTTCCTCTTCGCGGAGCCTTCTTTGGCACTCCACCACTGCTCCTTCTTGTTCTTCTTCGCAGACCCTCCGTCGCGGGTGGCAGGATGCTGGGGGGAGGAAGAGGAGGATGAGGAGGAAGATGCGGAGGATGAGGAGAAAGAGGAGGAGGATGAGGAGAAGGACGAGGCAGCAGGGGAGGAGGAGGAGGAGGAGGAGGAGGAGGAGGAGGAGCAG